AGTAAATTGTCATACTTGTTTTTTGAGAGTAACAAGAGTGTATCTAATAATTGCTAGTGTATTGTAAAATTCAAAAATGACTTCTAACTTAAAATCTAACATGTTCTCCCAGTTCCTTTTGAAGCAGTGTGGATACAGAATGTGTTATACCAAGGCATCAGGAAGAATGTGGGTTCAAATTCTACCTTTTGACACCTACTAGCTTACCAGCCATGGGCAAATCATTTAACTTCAGACAACTCTAATACTCTCATATAGTATATTAAAGCATTGTTTTGGAAACGATTAAACTTAACAGACCAACCCTACTACCACCTCAAATTTTGGTAATTACTGAAGCAAAATACATGCATAGTTCTGTATTTCAGAATTTAGTTCTGTAGTTCAGAAAACTGTCCTCACACTACTGGAGTTGCTGTGAAAGATCAAATGAGATATTATTTATAAAAAGCACTTAGCACAGTATCTGGTCACAGAGCAGGCATTATAAAAATGCTTATTCCCTTTTCTCCTCCATTATTTAAAACATGAATGGTTCCTAAGGAAGCTGTCCTCCATTTGAGGTTTAAAAAAGTGGTATTCTATCTACTCAGGCTTATGAAAAGCCAGAAATTAGTACCACTGTTAAGAGGAATGTGTATAGTGGCACTGGTATAAAAAAAAAACATCCTCATCGTTAAAGGTTTGGCTGTCTACTTATAAATACATAGAAAACCAAGACAATAAGATTTGGTAAGATGATCAAATTTTATTCTTTTCTAATGTTTTAACTAAAATCATGTTCTTCAAATGTATATAAATATACACCAAGCCAAACAGAATTACAAATTTTGAAATCTAACAAAAATCATACATAGCAGATAACAAAATCCAAAATTGTTTTAACAATCAATTCATCTGTAAATATTTAAGGAGCAACGCCAAGTTTCTATTATCTTTTAAATTTTAAGGAGGGGCTTGCTAAAGACTACATATAGAACACATCTTATAGAAAACGCTCTATCATACAAGACATTTTACAAGTCATAATGCTAACTTTTACAATCCTAGGACCTCTCTGCTTTCAAGGGGACGTAATTTGATTTAATCAGCAATCTAAACTGCTGGTCAAATTACAACCAGCTCAGTGACGATGCTGCCCACTGCCTAACATCTGTAGGGCAATTTGGGTACTTCTGTAGAGCGTCCATAATTTGATTATTGTCCAAAAGCAATTTCACCAGCTGGTATTCTCTCTGTGTATTTACTGATGTTCTCTCCATTGCTTTTACTAATTCTAGTTGCTGTAAGTGTTCAAATGCCTAAAGGAAGAGAAACATTTCAAGTTAAACAAACAACAACAACAACAAATCCTCTGACTACTGATATTTTCCGGTTGGATGGGTAATACAATTTGCTTGACACTGACCCAAGATATCCCTAGAATGAAAGAGGCTCCTTGCTAACTTGTACTGATGTGTAGCTGCATGACAAAAATCTCATTTTTTTATAATTTATCAAAGAGGAAAGGATTACCAACCAGTCATTAATATCCAGTAAATTGCATTTACTTAAACTTATTTACACCGAAATGTTTCATCTTTAACTGTAGAATAATAAATGTTAAAGGGATTTCAGGAATTGGCAAGGAGTTTTGTTGGTATCAGTTTTTTGGTTTTTTTTTTGGAGGAGTGGAGAGTGAGGAGGAAGTGGAGACTAGTAGGCTACCAGGCCTGTTCTATAGTTCCTGTGGAAAAGAATAGTTTCATTGAGTGAAGGACTGGAAGAGATGCTTCTTTATCTCCTCCAGACAAGCTCCCCAGCCTTGCTGGGGGGATGAGCTGGAAAGGAACTGAAGGAACTTTGCCCCAAACCAAGAAAAGTACATGCTTCTCTGCCTAAGGGCGCTACTCCCTCTACTTTTGCCTAATTTCAAACTTCTGCCTCAAGAGTCCCAGATAGGGGCAGCTAGGTGGCGCAGTGGATAGAGAAATGGCCTTGGAGTCAGAAGGACCTGAGGTCAAATCTGGCCTCAGACCCTGGGCAAGTCACTTAACCCCATTGCCTAACCAAAAAAAAAAAAAAAAAAAAAAAAAAGAGTCCCAGATACCCATTTTGGTCTTTTGAAACATTTGTTATTCTGCATAAAAAAAATTTTAGATTGTATTTCTTACAATCTAATACCCTGGAACTCATCCTTATGTCTTTCATATTTTGTGCTTGTAATCAATCAGTAAGCATTTATTAAGGAGCTACTATATGTAAGCAATGTGTGACATTCTGGAGATACAAAGCCAGAATACTTTAACTGCCTCAAGGAGTTTACAAACTATGGTAGGAGACAAATGTACACATATAAGCAATATATAACTTCTTTAACAATTTAATATTTGAATAATTAGAGGAGTTCAGATATTTCTCAGAGAAGAGTTGAGAATGTTTTGGACAGTAGGAGTATCAATGCTCTGTCCCTAATGTTACTGGGAGTAAGAATAAATCTTATTTTCATAAGATATTGGTACATTTACCTATCGAAACCTCTCTATTCTTAAAACTCCTCTATACATGACCATCAGACAGACTAGAAAAAAAGTTAACCCTACAAAATATTTTGGGGTGGTTAGAGTATATTGAACAAACTGGTTCATTGCCTAAAAAAAAAGGCCAACACTAAAAGGTTCTATATATACTAACTTAGTAACACTCTCCTGCTCTTCTCTCAACTCTTATGCTTTTAAACTTAGCAGATTTTTGTGGGCAGATGCACTCTGTACAACACTGCTTTAAAGCAATGTTACTAGGATAATGAGGTTGCTAACACATTCTAGTGGGGGTCTAATCTAAAAACTCTTACCAGAAGTAACTTGAGAGCATTTGCCACCTTGGGCCATCTTGTCCCATTTATAGTGTTCTATATGAAACTCAATTTACCTGTAACTCCATTTTGCAATGCTGCTCTCACTTTGTTGGCGCGGGGGGAGACAGAACAATCCAAAAGCTTTCAACCTAAGCTATCAGATCTAGTATCTATAGGCCCTATTTTCCATGAGTGGGAAATCTTAATTATCACAAAACCTTTTACTATATGATTT